CTAGTGGCATTTTCTAGAGTTTCACATTTGTATTTTGATACACATTTTTTCCAATTTAAACTTTGGTTTACTTACTGGTATGTACAAGTCTACTTTCAATACAACTTCAAGTTTTGCATAACTTATGTTTGTGCTGTGCATTAATTGACTTGACAAAAAATCGGCTTAAGATCCTCATCCACTGCAATGTTTTTGAGGCTGGATCATCTAACCGCTGTTCTGCCTGCCTTCCCTGTAGCCTATCCCATGTACGCGAAGCCTTCGGCGCTTTACATAGATACACCCTTCAGGCAGTCCATGTGGCATCACTCTATGTCAGTGATGTACCAGGCGCCTGTGTTCCAGCATCCATCGTCAGCAGCGACTCCTATGCCTCAGACAACCCAAGCACTTGTGCTTTGGTCAACGCCAGTCGCACACTAGACACCAGCAACTCCAGCTGAGCGCTCCACGTTGACCAGTACGCCGTCGGCAAGCACCAGTGCTACTACCCATGCTTCGGTTTCATCTCACTGCTAGGACTCACCCGATGCTTTGTCCCAGCACTCATTGAGAGTGAGATCTACACAGCATACCAGAAGCAGGCTCACCAGTGAGGCATTCGCATCACCACCATTCTGAGTCATCAGAAGCTTCACCAGATGAAGATTGGGATTCATCAATGGAATGGAATACTCACCTTCAGTCTGGTACAGAAGAAAAGAATTACACTATTTGGTCCCACCCTACGTCTATACCATTGGGTCCCATGCTTCAGGATATGATCAAGGCGCAGGATAAGGACCTTTCCAAACTGACACTTGCAACAGCATTCAAGGGCCAAAGTTTAGCAAGGATGACTTCCTTATCCATGCCTTTGGAGTAGCAGACCAGGCACGTATCTTGAATGAAGACTTACAGATCATCACCGGCTCATCTAAGCCAACTACACTGAAGATCCCAGACATCAGATTTGCCTTCATTGAGACTGAGATCAGGCTATCACTCAAATCACTGTCAGCACTTTCAAACCTCAGGGAAGCCCTTGTGGAGATTACGGCTACTCGCAGGCTTCGCTACCTGGTGCTCTCCAATTGGGACACTGGGTTTAAGTGTCATCTCCTCCATCAACCATGGTCGGCCAGTTTGTTATTTAAGAATCAAGCCTCAGATATACACGCCAAGGTCTCTAACTACGCTCGTGATGAGACGGATCTCAAGGTGCTGGAGCAGGTCTCTCATAACTGGTGTCTCAGCCAGCTGGCAGGTCAGGCAATTATAGGCCAAGATGCTCTTCCCTCAAAGAACAAGATTCTGCGCTACGGTTATCACTTGAACATTGTGGTAGACCCATAGTTGACCACAGCTCCTCCTCCTTGGGCTTTCCCATGGAAGCAACATCAACTACTGAAATCCAACATAGAGATCTTGCTGGAGAAGAGAGCTGTACAGATTGTACATGCCTCAGCGCTAACACTGGGCTTCTACTGGTACCCAAGAAGGAATCAAGACAAGATGTGGATGCTCTACAATCTCTCTGTGTTCAACGAGTGCTGTCTGGAGCATCCACCATACTTCCGCCTCACAACCTTGAGATTGCTCAGGACCAGCATCAAGCCTTCTACTCCCTGATCTCGACTTGCAGGATGTGTACCTGCATGTACCAATCCTTCCCTCCTACTGCAGATCCCTCAGGTTCCAGTTCCATGGAGTCCACTACCAAAGGGCGGCCCTGCCCTTTGGCATTTCAGTGGCCCCGTGGCTATTCACATGAATAACCAAGACAGTAGCTGACTTTCTACACTTGAGGAACATCTGATTCGAGTCTTACAGAGATGACTGTCTCATGAGTCATCCTGACATGGCTAACTTGGTGCGCCATCTGGACTTCACCTGGGGTCTATGATTTCATTTGGGAACTGATTCCTTCTTGCCGACTCCAATTCATAGGAAGTCTGTTCCAGACAGATCAGGATTAACTATCTGTGCTGAGGGACAGATGGCTAAAGATCCTACATCACCTGTCACCTGCCTTGCAACAATCTCTCACACTTCGCCAATGGCAAGTCTTGTTGGGATATCTCACAACAGCCCAGGACTTGACGAGCAGAGGCCAATTACACCTACGCCCAATACAACAGTTCCTGACACCTTACATCAGGCGTTAAGACCCGTATGCAGCCATCACTCTACTGTCTCATGTAAGGACACATCTCAACCAGTGGACGATAGAGTTGAACATCTTAGGAGGGGTCTCCTAATCCGGGCTAGCCCCAAAACTGCACCTGTTCGTAGACGCCTTTCTTCAGGGGTTGCGTGCACATCTACAGGGCCAGAAAACCTCAGGGCTGTGGTCAGGAAAACAATGTACTTGGCACATCAACAACCTCGAGTTGGAGGCACTCATTCTGGCAATGTCACATATGCGGGAGCAGTTACGGTACAACTCGCAATCTCCACCGACAACAGTATGGTGATGGTGGTGTAGGGACTGCGCAATCAGGGGACTCCATACTTTGCCACGCGTTACAGTTCTTTCATCTAGTGGATCACCTAGGACAACAATTTCCGAGTCCAGCACATCCCCGGATGTCAGAACATTCTGGCGGACACCTTATCCCGACCAGACAAGGTGGCTACCACAGGTTGGAAGCTCCACCCAGAGACGTTTCAATTGCGGGCCCCTCTTAAGCCCCTCAATGCATCATACTTTTTCAACCTCTACAGTTAGACAATTTTTCTCTTGGCCTTAGCCAGAGCGGGGCAGGTGAGTGAGTTACATCTGTGTTCGTTTTGAGCATGGTATGCAGGGAGTGGTTTACCTCAGTCTGTGCTTGGATTTCATAGTGAAGAATCAGCTACCAGGGCAAGCTGACCAGTCCTCCACCATTCCACCAATCTCCACGATTGTGGGGGTTGAAGATGATGGTGCCCTGTACAAGCACTACACGAGTTTTAATCCGCCACTTCAAGACTAGGCGTGGCACAAGGAAATGTCCACAACCAAATTCAATCGCAAGACCATATCACTATGGTTACCTGTAGTTCTGCAGGCATACCAGATCGCCAACCTTGATACACTGAGTGAAAATAATTTTCACAAGATCAGAGCGGTCGCCTCAACCATGGCTCCGACAGTGTCCTTGCCAGCTTAGCTAAGAGATGTGGCACTTGAAGACATCAAAGGCGTTCGTTGCTTTGGCCCTGTGGTAGTAGCCCAGCAGGTGACCGTCCCCTGACGCAAATAATGAACTCTTCCTGTCAGGAGCCAGTCTTACCCGACTCCCACAGTGTTTTGACACGCCCGTAAGGGGGAATATCAGGCTTATATAGCCTTGGCTGGATAACTCAATTTTTAGATTTTACCTTACGTTATTTTCTTGTTACTGTTTGTTTACCTTGACTTATCCTCATTTCTCATTTCTCCCTGATGGAAAAGATTGAACGAGTATAACCGATCGGCGCTTGATACGTCATTCGTTTCCCTTAACACGTGTGTCACTTGAAGGGTTTATATATATTTAGGATTACATCTGAAGGTATACCCACCGTCATTAAGATGTAATGCAGGATAAGTAAAACATTTAGTAAAATCTAAATTTTTTACATTCGTATACTTATCCTTCATTACTGCGTCTAAGGGCTGACCTGCTTCCCCACTATGGCTCCAGAATATTTTAGCACAGTGACAGGCAGGAATGTGACAGATGTGGCGTCACAACGGACAGTCACTTGACAGTAGTGATTGGTCCTTGCAAAAGGTAGACTGAAGGTGAAAATAACTTGTTTTCTTCATCAAGGACTACTGCTAGGCACTGTCTTCTTTGTCATAAGGTAAGCAATAGATGCGTTAAGGAGTTATGCAGGATAAGTGTACAAATGTAAAACATATTTGAATTTTACTGAAATTTCTACTTGAATTACACCTCCACAAAGAAAAAAGTAGTTGCACAAAATACTTTGTTGAATTGGAACGGGACCCAGAGTGATCTCATTATCCACTAATGGTGATGGTTCGTCTGTCATATGCGTTCAATTTGTCACACTGAGTATCCAGAATATCACCTACATTACATCTAACAGGCCATATAGGAGTCACAAAGGGGCGTGCTACAACAGTGTTGAAAACATCCGGTTATAGAGATCACTAAATTTTTCAATATAATTTATTTCCAAGGGCATATTTTTCAGTTTGTAAACCAATGGGCTAAATAACAAGGGGCATAGTGCATCATGCACAAGGACATATGGTAGTAATCATAGAGCTACTCATGAGTTACCCCCAATGCAGATGAATGTTTGTGTTGAATTTGGCAGTCCAGCATCTGTAGTTGTAACCTCCCAAGTATTTCAGCTGGTACAAAATCACACATGATACAACCTGTGTCAAGCATCATCCCAAATCCCACTGCATGGACATAGCATCAACATAGTGAACTTGTCTGTTTTCAGGGATCACTTGATGTTGTAGTAACTACGTTTGACTGTAATAGTGTAAATCAGAATAGATAATAAAATTCAGTTTCTATTATGTGCAACAATAAATGATTTCTATGACAGAATGAATGCTTGTGTTCAAATAATATACTGACACTTCAAAATATTTAGTTATGTTCTAAGGTTATGTAACCAATATTTTTCATATTTAAATGCTGCAACAAATATCTATATGCAAAATGATCAGATATGTTGTTTGGGGGTTTGGGGTTAAGGGTATTCCTGTATCACAGAATAATCATCCCCACAGTAATTCATGGGTATCCACCGGTCGTCGGTAGGTTGTGGGTGTGAAACCCCAACAAATTTTTGGTCTTCCTTTCACTTGGAGGCGACTAGGCATCTCACTAAGGTGTGCAAAGCCCTTTCATACCCAAAATCAGAGCAAGGGCGCACAACCCTTGCTCAATGCCTTTAACCTGAGATCCCCCTAATGCCAAACATGTAATAAATCGTTCAACTGACTTGCAATGTTTGTTGTCTATGATTGTAATTTTGTGAAATATTTCCTAATTCATTTTCAGGCTCTTGCAGATGGCTTCATTGATTATCTCTGGACCAGGTTTCAGAATCCCAATTCAGAGACAGTTTTCAGGCAAACATCAGTGGCATATATTGGCAGCTTCATCTCAAGGGCAAAGTTTATTTCTATCAAGTATGTATACATATTTAAGTTGCATAAGATTATTATTCATTGAGAACAGTATCTAATGTCAAGGTGACAAAACTGACCTGATATGATTATGCTCTTCACCAACTTGTCTTGGTGAACAGAATATTTAGCAAAAGTAGTGGAAGGAATGAATGCCTGTGAAAAACAGGGACCTTTTGAGTCAATGTTACCAAGCAACTTTGAACTCATTGTGAATTTATGTTTTGGGGTTTTGGCTAATGTTTGTGTCTGTTCGACTGTTCACCCACCCTTTCAAAAGCAATGCATCAAAATCTCCACATTATCTGAAGTCTCATTGGATTGCCTTGTTAACCTACCTGACTAAAAGTCATGTGAGCTTATATTGTGGTGCATTCTACATTTCCATCCATCTCTTCCATTTGTCCATAACTTTGCATTTGCTTAAAACTTACTAATTCTCAATTTTATAAAGGATTTAAAGCTATTCACAACTTTGCATGGTAATGGGTAAAGCCCCAGTCACACCGGGCTTGCCACCAGGTTACGACCTATCTGCAACCGGAAAATGTTGGAATCGTGGGCAAATCGTATGAAGAGCACACGACTGATCGCAGAGGTCGTGAGTGATCGCCACAGCAAATTCGCAGGTTGCAGACAGGTCTTACATGGTCGTGCCAGCACTCGTACAATATCACGGGTGAAGAAGTTGCATGATTGGTCGTGCTACTGTTCCTGTCACCTGACAGTTGATGGTATCACCTGTCGTACAACCTCACGATCGATCGTGTGACCAGTCACGACCTATCCTGACTGGTTGCATGACATAACGATTGGTACCACCAGTCTTTAGTTCGCAGACCAGTATCATATTTTCTTGAGTAAAGCTAACAACACCATTTGGAGTGACACCAACAAGCGCTTTAAATGTTATGTGACTTTTATAATGACTGTACATTTGTGACTGTTTACCAATAGAGTAAGGTTTTTCTGTAAATAATTCTGTGCAATCTATAACAACCCTTGTATTTGGTTACAGATCTTTAAAACCTTGAGGCATAGTTGTATAATAATATCCATTGATGGCCAAACAACTAGGAAGGATAAATTGTTGTACAAAATATCAATCCATCTATTAATGACATCAGCACAACAAAGATTTAGGGCGTCCGATATTGGATGTTGGATAGTCCCTGTCATGAACCTCAGAAAACACGTCAAATAAACATGAAAACTTTTCTGCATCCACAAGACCTGTATAATAGGTTACCAATTCTGAATCATTCTTCACATAAAAAAATGTTAAATCAGGAAGTTTGACTTGAGTGGCTTGATTGCCAAAGACTTTTTTATTTTCAGTCTCAGTCTGAGTCATTGCACAGGATGTTTTCACAGGATTTAAACACTGGAACATTACATCGTCAGTTTGAGTAGACATGCTTCTAACTTCCACCATTTCTGTTTGCGATGATCCATATCTTATGCAACTGATGTCGTCTTCACACACAGCCTCACAGTAGTCATGCAGCATAATTGATGCAACGTCATAGGATCTGTCAAAATAATAAATAGCTTTTCATCACATTAAAAATATAGTTTTTTTCCGATATTTTGAGGTTAAAGGAATTAAAATTAATAAAAAATAAATTAACATAAATCTGTTAAAACAAAAGCTAATATAAGAAGTGTATTATCAAGTTTATTGGTCAATGCTCTATTATATTTTATGCTCTATATATATATTTTATGCTCTTTATATTTTATTGTTCTGTAAGTAAGAGAGACCACACCATGATTTTTATATTTTGTCTTGTTAAGCATAACTTCTCATAATAATCAACAAATTCAAAAAAGAGAAAAAACTTATGTTCCCGCTGTACCTGGCACCTTGACTGAATGTTGTGGAATGATGTTCAATTTCATCAGACTGATGAGTCCCTCGATGTATCTGCATAGTCACTTTGGGAGATTCAGGGTCACAGGCCTGCTTGAATGGGCTTTCATTTGGCTTATGGGTATCAACAAAGTCAGCATCAGACACCTGCAACAAATTATCAACAGACACTGAGACATTTTTTTCTATAACAAATAAGATGAAAGAGAGGATACATAGAATTTTAAGATCAACACAACTTGAAACGTTTTTGTTTGTTTTTTTCATTTCAAGTTTTAATCATAGCACTTTTTCACAATCACATAACATTCACAAACGATAAAACACATTAAATACACCAACAATAGCATAAATCTTATAAGAATCAACATAACTCACTGTGCAAGTACTGTAATTTTTCTTCGGAAAAATCGATGGAACATCATGCCCTATGCCTGGACCGTTACCACCCACGAAATGTTCTGAGCATATTTCCGTGTGCTTGGTCACTGTGAGGTCTTTTCTCACTAACCGAAGTCGCCTTATCCACGCTTGTCGTAGGTACTTGCTTACTGGAATGACGTGTAGAGATACTATTCTTTCACCGACTATCTTTCCCCTAAAATTGCTACAAATACAGCAGTATTGCTTCCCCATTTTGACAGCTTCGAAGCAGCACACTATTTTCAACGGAAGTTGACAGTACTCGGCGGAAGTTCATCCAACCAATTGAAGAGTTCCAACTCAAGACGGATAACTCTCATTGAACTTGACTTTTAGGAAAGTCGAATATCTGGAATTGTGTTTTTAACTTATTTTATTAATTTAATTTAAAATTCCTTTTAATATTGTTTTAATTAATTTCGGCGAAATCGTGTGAAGCGATCAGAAGATTGCATAACTCACCTTTATTCACAGCAACCACAGTCAGATTACCACTATTGACGCCTTGAAAAGAACTTTATTTGACAGAGAATGGATACATATATCATAAATGCCATACTTTGACTCATTAAAAGTCATATTTGTTGTAGTTTGACGATTCTATGTCAACTCGTAGTTCTTGCAATCACGTTTGCAGGAGCCTTGACAGTGACTGGTCAAATTGTTCCATGTGACAAAAATAACTTTTAAAGTATATTTAGTAAAAGATGCAACTAAAATATTTGAATTCATTATTCCTGATAAAAAAATCCTGTAAAGTTATATCATTGGGTAAGTTTTACCCGAATCACCGGTAGATTCCAAGAAAACGTGTACTGCTGATTGCTATTTTCGGCTTAGTTTACAAGAAAATACACAAGGTAATCTTAATCCCTGGATGAAAAACAATGCCTAGCAGAACAAAAAATACAATGTAAACGGTAACATGTCTGGTGATTTTTTATCTCAAATTTCAAATTTGTACCGACCAAGTTTCTCATCACAGTTCGTTTACCGGAATTTGCTGAAGGGGTACAGTGTAATTTTTTACTGCGATCAATATTCGAAGCTTTCTGGAAGTCAATAAATGCAGCATAAAAATGATGCCTTGTTTTTTGAAGATATTTTTGTGCTGAAGACTGTGAAACAAAGATATTATTGCTGGTGGCATGATCATGTCTGAAAACCAGCTCGGTGTCTGTTGTTATCTACTTTCAGTAATGGATGGAAACTATTTCCCATTAATAGGATCAGACATGTCTCCCTTCTTAATAAAAAGGCAATATTATTCCAACATTGAATTGGGGAAAATTCCAGAATCCAAAATAGTATTAAACAATAGATGTTTATATGGAAGAAAGTGCAAAGCATTCTTATAAAATTCCGGTGGCAAACCATCTCATCCTGGAGCTTTACCCGGTTTTAATGATTTTATGGCCTGTCTTACTTCATCTTTCGATATATAATACGAGGGCTGGCTGAAAAGTTCTAAGCCTAACTGTGAAAGACCCGTACCAAGTCAATGGTTTTCATTTATTTCTCCACATAGTTCCATTCCAGGTTTACACACTTTTGCAAGCGATGCTGCAAGGCCTGGATGCCGGTCAAGAAGAAATTTTCTTCAGCCACCCTAAAAAAAAGTCATTCACAGCGGAAATGACGACATCATTACTAGGAAAATGGCGACCGGCTAGTTCCTTTTTCATTTTGGGAAACAGGTGGAAGTCTGACAGGGCCAAATCGGGTGAATAAGGGGGTCAATGAGTTCGAAGCCACAATCATGGATCGCTGACATGGCAACCACCGGTTTGTGAACAGGAGCATTGTCTTGGTGGAACAGGACTCCTTTAGTGAGCATTCCCCATCGCTTAGCTTTGATATCTTCACGCAACTGTCTGAGTAAGTCAGCATAATATCCTCCATTGATAGTCTGGCCTTTTTCAAGATAGTCAATCAGCAGAATACCTTTGGAATCCCAAAAGACTGAAGCCATCACCTTTCGAGCAGAAGGAACCGACTTGGCTTTTTGGGGGGCTGGTGATTCCGGATGCTTCCATTGTTTAGACTGAATTTTGGTTTCTGGTTAAAAGTGATGAATCCAGGTCTCATCCATGGTTACCCATCTTGCAGAAACCTTTGTCATTCCCAACTCGTTGGTGATAATGTGCTCAACCCTCTCATGAGAGATGCCCACAACACTGGCAATATGTCGAGTGGTCAATCATCGATCAGCCATCACCATGTCATGCTGTTGAAGGCCTTCCTGGACGCGGGTCATCGTCAAGGCTCTCTCTGCCACGCTTGAATTCCGCAGCCCACTTCTTTTCAGTGGAAAAGGAAGGGGCATCATCCCTTAAAGTATAGACCATGTCAGCATGTATCTGTGTTGGAGTTAGCCCTTTCAGTTGCAGGTACTTGATGACTGCCCCTATATAGGCAGTTTTGTCCATTTCTGGTGATTTCAATGGCTAGGTTCACAAGATGGTCTGGTACAAAGACAATAATAACACTACAGTTGCAGTTCTTATGTCTATGATTCATTAAATGATTGTACTTGTTGGTGGCAAAAGTTTGTTTCAATCCGATTGAGATATCCCACTTAGGCTTAGAACTTTTCAGCCAGCCCTCGTATAATCTGAAAGCATATCCGCATTATTGCAATTTTCACAATTTAGACAATCATGTTCTCTTACAAACTCCAATACCACTTGTCAAATCAGTTTGGCATCGATGCTTTTGGATGTGTATACCAAGCCAGTGGGGACATCACCTTTACCGCACAACAGTGATTTTAGGGTGCGCCAAAATACGTGACTATTTTTATCACTTATTGCCGAGTTAAAGTGATCTGTTGTTTCTTCGGTGAAAATAAACTGCTTTTCCTTACATATCTTTTTAAAATCTTGTTTTGACTCTAAATACATTTCTAATTTTGTTATATTCTCTGATTTTCGAAGAATATGTAATCGATCATATTTAATTCTTGTATTTTGACTGAACATTACTCCTCCAACCATCCATAGGTTGTTTATTAGCAGCCTTCAAAATGGTTGGCCTCTTTTCCATGTGTCCTCTAATGATCTAAAATAAAGTACAGTTTGTCAGAAGCCTTGTGTACATTTACGTGAACACAATGAAGGAAGCTGTTCATGATTGCTTTTGCTGGGGAAGAATAAATGTTTTACTTATCCTGCATTACTCCTTAATGCATATTACTGCTTGTTCTTGACAGAGAAAAGAGCTGTGTGTGGGTCTTTGCTTGAAGAAGTTGCTCCAACTAGCTGAGAGGCCAGCCCATCACGCAGCTCCCACGTGACCAAAGGAAGTGACGTCATGGATCCTCACATTACTCTTGTCACTTGATGAGAGAAGACCTGTTTTTCTTCCTGTAACATAAAACTGATTCAAACCCTCACGTGTTTGCTATCTGAGTTAATGTTGTTCTTGTCTTTGTGTTGTGCCTACGGTTTGTATTTTGTACATTCTATGTTTGATAAACATGTGCATAACTTTATTAGACACTTACTGACGTTTTCTCAAAAGAAAACATAAGGCCAGGTGTCTTGTTGCTCCAAGTAGCCATCTTGAATATTTTGCGTAGCCAGCCGTTAGTGAACTGGTTTGCGTTCTATATTCTTTTGCTTGGTACCCCAAGTAGTATAGGTAATGATGGTTCTGGCTCACTTCCACTGGAGCTGGATTTATATACCTATACCATCACTACAGATGGAATTTTTTATGCCAAAATGACTATGCAATTCAATGATAGTCATAAGATTCAGCTAAATTGGCTCCAGCTCACCACCACCTGAAGCCAATGATATAAATTTTTATAGGTAATGATGGTTCTGGACCACTTCCACTGGAGCCAGATTTATATACCTATACCATCACTACAGAGGGAATTTTTTATGCCAAAATGATGATGCGATTCAACGATAGTCATGAGTTGTATTAAACGAAATATCAATATTAATTAATAATGGATAAAATTTACTATAGCCCACGAGGATATTGGAAAGGTGTAGGAGCAATAAAAAAATTAGCCACCACGGCTAAGGTATCTAAAGATGTGGCCAAGGATTGGTTAAAGAAACAAGCGATGTGGCAGATATATTTACCGGCACCGCGTTATATACCGAGGAAGAAGTTTGATATTTTTACAACGAATGAAGTTCATCAGGCTGACCTCTTGTTTCTTCCCCACGATAAGGTAAAACGCAAAACGTATAAATACGCTTTAACAGTAGTTGATGTGGCTAGTCGATACAAAGAGGCTGAGCCATTAACATCGAAAGAATCAACAGAGGTAGCTAATGCACTGAGTCGCATATATAAACGCGGACCGCTAAAATGGCCTAAGCTATTTCAAGTAGATCCCGGTCGCGAGTTTATGGGATCGGTAACTAAACTGTTAACAAAGAACGATGTCGAAATCGTCCGTGGTGAAAGACAGGCCCACCGCAGTCAAGCTATCGTCGAAAGATTTAACAGGACATTAGCGGAACGTTTGTTTGGCTATCAGTATGGGATCGAAATGAAATCCGAGCGATTGAGATCAACCGAATGGGTGTCACGATTATCAGCCGTTGTATCAGCGCTGAATAATGAAGTAACGAGATTAATAGGGAAGAAACCATCCGATGCTATTAAAATGAAATCCGTGACTTCCGAATCTTCAGCACCGAGGAGAGGCAAAGAACGAAAACTTCCGGATAGAGTAAGGGTAAGATATTTATACCAGGCCGGTGAACTCGAAGGAGGCCTACGTCGCACAACCGATCCCATATGGTCCCTTAAGACGTATAACATTAGTCGATTGGTTACGAAAGAAGGAGAGCCTATTCTTTATTATCTTCAAGATGGACCGGGTAGGGCATTTGTACGAGAAGAGTTGTTCATAGTTCCCGACGGTACGGTATTACCACCATAACCATAAGCATAGGTATTTACACCATCATTATCAATCCATCTCTTTGTATCTAAGGGGGATAATGATGTCTTGTTCATTCTTAATCCATATATCCTATGATTGTAACTTCTTAAAGAGTTCATCTCGTGTTTGAACGTTCTACCGTTGAATAATGATTCTTTATACTGTTCGTGTTTGAAATGCTTTTTTACAACATACTTCTTAACGCCCTTAGCTTTTCTTATCTCTCCATTATCGGACTTCTTTATAGAATACATCTTAGGTCTTAATCCCACATACTCCGCTATAGGGGTCCCAGCACATTCATCCTTCATCTTACCTAACACCTTTTTATTTACAACGCTGTGCAGTGGATTATCTTTTGGGTAATCGCTCGTGTCGTACATATCTATTTTTTCTGCCATATCTTTATACACATCCTCGGTTTGTATTTCCATCAACAAAGAATCTGTGTTGGTATATAACACCTCGCATCTATCGCCGTATTGCTTCTTAAGTTCGTTGTAATAAAAGTCATACATTAAGTGTTTTGACAAGTCGAGAATACTCATACCGACGTACACCGGTCTGTTGAATTTTATATTACTCTTCTGCATATGCAACGCGGCTAAG